AGAGTTACTGGTGTGTCTGGAAGCTGAGAGGAGAGAGCAAAAATATTTTTAGGAATATGGCATAACATGGAAGAAATGTATCCGTTTGATGCATGGGGAGGCTGACATGCCAGACAGCTCTGTCGGCTAAATTTAGCTGAAGTGCTCTTTCTTTAAGAACCGTGTTAGCAAATATACAATATAGGAGACACATGGAGGGTTCTGCCTTGCTTGTCCGTGACACACAGGACGCCAGGATGTCATCAGGGGGGCTGTCCCTTGAAAGGGCAGGGCGTGCGCTGGAGGGGAGAGTCATGCATGCCGACCAGCACAGAGCCGAGGGGGCAGGGGCTGCTCTGGGTCCTTCTGTGTTCGTTTGGAAGACTCCTGCTACTCAGGAGAGAGGAGGCACCTCCGACCCCATGGACACTTGTGGTTGCTGAATTTCTAGGTGTTTCCATGTTTCACCAGCTCTCAGCATCCCTGGAGATGGGATGGGAAACTGAGGCAGGGAGCCTGGTCTGAGGGAGCGTCCCGGGCTGGAGCCTCAGGACAGCCCGGGACACGCAGGAGAAATGCCAAGAGACTGCCGTGTTGGGGAGCCCCAGGACAGAGGGTCAGGCCTGCAGGGATGGACGACCAGGCTGGTAACTCCAGGTGGAGGACCCTCGCTGGCAGTCCCCCCTGAGGCGGAGGGCAGGACCCTAGGACAGCTTCTTCAGCTCAGGAGACCCCCAGCTCCCGTGAGCAGGGATCCTGCAGACCCCCAGGAAGGGGGAGGCTTGGGAAAGGACAGAGGGCAGCTCCTGGCATGACCCCTGTGGCCCCCCGGGAGTGCTCCTCAAATCCCCTTACTGGGAGGAAGCACTTCGTACAAAGATTCGAAAATCAAAGGCCTGAGAGGAAACTGCTCCTGAAGGTGGTTTTGGGGGGAAAGGGTCAGAGACAAGGAAGCCTGGACACGGAAACCAGGATCTGGTGACAGAGAGAGGCTGAGCCAAGCCTGGTGGGCTTCATGGTCTCACCGTGGCTTGTGAGGCCGAGGCCAGCCAAGCCCCCTGGGACTCGCGGGATTCTGCAGGGGTTCCCGCAACCCTCTGAGTGGCCCTCCGGGGGCTTCGGATCCTGTCTCCCTTCACGGGCCTCCCCGTTCCTGACTTTATTTTATCTTTCGATTCCCTCACCACATGGAGCCAAGCCTGTGGCTTTTGTGGAGGCTAATTTTTTTCTTGAATTTAATTAATTCAGAAACCAGTGAAGTTTGCGCACACAACACCCCGAGCACAGTCTGGCTGTGTGACAGCAGGAAATCCAATTAAAATCATAAAACCGGGAGGCTGGTGAGCCGCTGATGAGATGAGGAATGACATCAGAAGCAGAGTGTGCCTGGCTCACGGCCAGGGCCGCCCTCCCCTTGGCCGCCTGAGGAGACCCAGCTGGTGCCCCAGCCCCGCCGGCCCCGGCATGACCACCACGCCGCGTGGTTCTCGTCTTCCGCAGGATTCCTTAAACAAGCAAGTATTCAGAGCGTGCGAACGGCGGAAACCGCTGTCAGGAAGAAACGTTACTCGCTTTGGTTTTGTGCCATCATTGTCTTCGCGTCCCCATGTTAAAATATTTTTATTTTCTCACCCATTAGTAGGGAATATGCATTCATGATATTTGTAGAATCTCTGAAATGTTTAATCAAGAAGAAAAATGGCTCCTCAGACTGGACGGAAAAGCAGGAGAAGCAGCGGCACCGTGCTTCACGCAGGCGGGGCCGGCCGCACGCTTCTGGGGGTGGGAAGCGTCGTCCGCCGGTTTTCCTGGGAAGGCCTCCGACGGCGGAGCCTGGCGGGTCACATGTGCCCACGTGGCCTCAGACGCCAGCTCTCAGCCCCTGCCCATGATCACACTGGGCTCGTGATAATGGGACAGACTCATAGCGCCAGGATTCCCTAGAAACGACCGAATGAGGACGGGCCCACCCTCGTCAGACCTTTAGACCCACCGGCCTGAAGAAGTGCTGCTGGGAGGACTGGGGTGTTCTGCGTCCACCCGCCAGGGGTCCGGGACACCGGCAGAGAGAGGAACGAGAGTTGTGTCAGAGTAACCCCCGACTCCTGGCCAGAGGTCCAAGGCTGTCCTCGTCCCCGGGGCCTGTCCTCTTGCCCCTGAAATGGTCTGACAGCATCCATTAGGGTCACCTGGGAGCGGGTGTCAAGTGGCAGTGCCCTGAAGCCACTCCTGGAGCCCTGGTCATTGTGAGGAAGGGCAACCCCATTCCTGGTCATAACGCAGGGACCGCAGGACAGGGCCTATGAACTCGTCCTGCTCCAGAACTGTCCTGAGGCTGGGGGTCGACTCTGTACCCGTTCAAGACTTATTCTCAGAGAGCCAACAGGATGGGCTCCTGGTCTGGTCCCACGCAACAGCTGAAAGCAGTTTGGGACTAGTCCAGAACCTGAAATCCCCAGGCGTCTTCCTACGAAAACGTGCTGGGGATCCCGATTCCATGCGAACAGGTCACTGACTTTGGGCTACGCCCTGGAGCCTCCACAGGCACGATCAAGGCGCCGCCCTCCGTCTTCCAGCTCAGCGTCTGCCCGGCCCCAGCACTGTCTGCCACCTCATGCTGCCTGCCCCACAGGAGACCCACGAGCTGACGTCCCACTGGGGTTTCTTGCAGAACCCAGTCAGTACGAGAGGAAGGACGCGAACTCTCACGCTGCTGTGTAGGACGCCTGTGACCGGTGTGCCGCGCCCGACGTGGGGCGGTTCCCCGACCAGCAGGCTGAGGCTCAGAACTGGAGACGGGAGTCCGGAGCCGGTGAGAAGGCAGAGGGGCTGAGAGGGCGCGTTGCGGCCTTAGATGCTGAGTATGTGTCCTTAGAGCGATGCCCGGGAGCTGCCCTGCGTCTAGGCCTCCCTGGTCACAAGCCCGGCCGAGGGTGTGAACCACCCCTTGTGCCCTCATGTCCGGCACATGGCCCCCGGACAGCAGGGGCACGCGGGCCCCACGGTGGCTGCCTGCCGGCCGGAGAGCAAAGGCACCAACAAAGGCTTCACCAGAGGCTCAGCTGGGTAGATCTGACCCAGACACGTCTGTGATCGCACGACAGAAACTGAGCCGGGCCCTGACCACGTCGTGTCACAAGTGAAGCTCAGTGTTTCCATCTGTAAGGCGGGTGGTCACCAAGACGGAAGACCAGGGTGGGGGTCGTAAGCGATGTTAGTCAACCTGTAGACTCTCAGCTCTAAGGGAATAATAAGGTCCGTGTCTCACCAAAAAATAAATAAATAAATAAATAAATATGTGAGGCGACGGGTGATTGTTTGACCGAGAGATCACTTCGCAGTGCTCTCATGTCCACGCACCGAAGCACCGGGCTGTCGCACGTGCCGTGGGGGCCGGTCTGCTCTGGACCAGCGTCGAGCGCAGGAGCTGCGACGGAGGGAGTCGAGCAAACTGGTTGGTGTCCTGACGCCCGTAAGGCTTACGGAGACCGTCGCTTCTGAGCGTGCGACAGCACTGTGTCCAAGAAAACGACATACGTCCTTAGTTAAAAACTACTTTATTGTTAGAAAATGCTAATTATCCTCCGAGCTTGCAGTGAGTGCTAATCAGTGGTCACAGATCACGGTAACAAGGATAATCCCAGGAAAATGCCAGAAATACTGTCAGAACTAGCACCACGTGACACAGAGAGACAAAGTGAGCAAATATCTTTGGAAAAATGCCCCCACAGACAGGGCGGCGTTGACCCGCCGTTCAGTCTGTGGAAAAACAGCATTGAGGGACGCGTGTTCCGTAAGTGCGTCCGTGTCCGCGCGTCTGTCCCACCTCAATGGGGAAAGAGCACCCGTGATGACACGGGTAAGTGACGCGGCCCACAGCACGCGCTCGGCCATGCCAACGGCGCCAGCATCCTCCCCACTGACCGTGGGCCCCGTGTCAGGAAACTTAACCTTCGCTTAGTGAGACACTGGCTGAAGCGTGAGGTACCTCCTTCTCTAGGTTTAATAATTTGTTTGTAAAAAATTGGCTTTAAACCATGAATCTTAGTGAGGAGAGCAAAGATAGTCCCGCTGTAGAAGAGGAACACGAAGGATGTGTTAATCCCCCAAGAAACGGATCTGACTGTGACCTTAGTAGCAGTCTCCACGGTGGGGAGGCGGGTGTAGGGCTGGAGGCAAGGGGGAGCAAGGCGCGGGAGTAGCTGGCTGTTCCCCGAGGCTCTTACAAGGGCCTCCAGCACATTCCCACACAGTGGGGGCTGCAGGGGATGGGGAATGAGACACCAGGCCTTCACGTTAATAGGGCGTTCGCCTGTCGTTAACACGGCGTTGGGGTCACGTGAAGGAAGGTGGCCCAAGGGGAAGACGGTGACCTGGTTTCCTGGTGGCAGACCCAGTAAAACCACAATCACACAGTGTCGCTGGCTGAACGTGCGGGAAAGAAAACCACCCCAGACCAGCCCTGGGGCTGAGCAGAGCTGAGCAGTCTCGAGTCGAAGCATCATTTGAACGGTTGCGTTCCCAGAGAGAGGGCTCCCCCTGCGCACACCTCCCGGGCCTCCTGCGGCACACTGACCATCAGCACGCCCTGGGCACCGCCGGCCGGAAACGGCTGCAAGCCCCAGAGTCGTGCGCCTCTCCTGCTGCTGCTCGCGGCTAGAAACCCTACTGCACGCTTCTGGAGAGCCCGCTTAGGGGCAGAGTCCTAAACAGACCAAAGAAACCCGTCGGCAGAATGGGTGCTCATTAAGGCTCACGTCAGGCCTGCAGAGCCACTGAGCCTCACTGGAGGCCGGCAAAGAGAGTCAGGCTCTCCTGCCTCCAAAACGGCAGAGCCACAGACGGAGGCCAGATGCCATCAGATGCCCGGCCCAGGACGGACACAGGGACGCGGCCCACACTGGCCACGAGGAAGCCGCAGTGCTCTTTGGGGACATTCGTGTGGAGCAGCTCAAGGACACCGTTCCGTGGTCGCTTCCAGAAAAGGGACTGGGAAGCACGGGAACTGCACGGGCCCTTACCTTGCTGTCGTCCTCGGTGTCACCAGAGCCGCACGCGTCCACGAAGTTGGGAAACATCTCTGACCAGCCGTGACTCGTGCAGTTTTTGCTTATGTTTCCTGGAAGACAGAGTGCGGGCGTCAGGCCTGCAGGTCCCCGACAGCTGGCCTGAGGGTGACGGCGGGCACGGCCCCATGTGCTTCCTCTCTCTGGCAGCGAGGAGCTCAGCCTCACCCTGTCCAGCCACTTCACGGTGTGCGCCTTCAGCCCTGCCCACCCCGGGCTCCCCACCCACAGAAGTGGGGTTTGGCGGGGCCTCAGTGGCTCGCGGGTGAGCTTCTGGTCACGGGGCCCAGCGAGGTGGCTGTAACGGCTGGTTTCTGATTATTCAGGAGCGCAAGGAAAGGTAACAGACTCGTATTCTGCCCAGAAAGAGCGTGATCGCAAAACCCCAGCCGTTCCAGAGCTGGCGATTCCCCTGCACCGCCCCTGCCACTCCCTTGCTCGGCTGCCCGGGGCGTGACCTCACAGGCAGCGCCGTCCCTGACGTTGACCCGCAGACTGTGGGGATGAGACGCAAACCGCGCGAAATGAAGGCAGTGCTTGTCTTGTGACACCACTTTCTTTTGGTCTTAATTAACAGAAACATGTATGTTAAGCTCAGGAATGCTACGTTCCCTCTATCTAAAAGAAAGTGTCAGACGTCGGGTGTCTCAGTAGGTTGAGCCTTGGACTGTCGGTTTCCGCTCAGGCCATGACCTCAGGGTCCTGGGACAGAGCCCAATGTCGGGCTCCACGCTCAGTGTGGAGTCTGCTGCAGATGCTCTCTAATAAATAAATAAATAAATAAAATTTAAAAAAGAAGACGTGGTGCTGAGTGACCTCAGGGCCGGGCACGGACCCCTGGTGACGGCGGGTCTCGCGGGGCGGGCAGTGGGACGCTCAGGCCTGGGAAGGCACTTCCCGCCCTTGGTGCTGGGAGGTTCAGCGGCAGACCAGCCACCAACTTCCTCCCTGACTCATGACCCCTGGGCTCTCAGAAGAGCAGATACCCAACTCACATCATCTCTGCCTGTCTTGGACCAGCGCCGTGAAGCAGACTTGGCGGGCATTACGGTTCCCATTTTACAGATGAGACTGAGGCTCAGTAACACACCCAACGTTCTGTAATGACTGAGTGGTGGAATAGGTTTACTCACTCAAAAACCCTTTGTTTTCAACACCGGGGGGGCCTGTGTGATTGATTAATAGACAAAATCTAGAGCCAGGCACACTCACGTTGAGGTGATAATGTGCATAAGCGATTCCCAGCACACTGTGTGCAGGCACGCGGGAGGGCCCAGACCCTGACCTTCTGGCAAGAAAGTGGGTTAGGGGACCTCGGCAAAGCCCCTCACAGGGTTGCGTGGGCTTGCTCTCTCACTCTCCAACACGGCGTTTCTCTGAGTCCAGGCCCCAAACCTCCTCCTGCTCTCGTCCCGGGGGGGTCTGGGGGCAGCTGCAGGGCAGGGACCACAGTGGATAGTGGAGGCAAGGTGGAGTCCTGTGATGTGAGGGGGGCCCAGGGAGGTGGTGGGTGCTGGGAGGTGAGGGGGGACCTGGGGACGTGAGTGGGTGCTGGGGAGGTGAGTGCGGCCTGGGAGGTGAGTGGAGGGGCCAGGGAGGTGAGGGGGTCCGGGGAAGTGAGGAGGAGACTGGGAGGGGAGAGGAGGGGGGAGGCCTGGGAGGTGAAGGCAGGACCAGGGAAGGGAAGGTGGGGAGGACGCACTTCTAGGACCCTCTTCTCTGTCCTCTGCGGGTGGACCTCTTCTGTGGGACCATCTGCCCTATGGGAGCCTCACCACACTGGGGGACTCTCAGCTCAGCTGCACTGCCTAGGGGCCCTCAGCAGAGTCGTGACGGGTGCCTCCGTCCCTGCTCCCCAAGGCTGATCCCCGACGCCCGGTCCTTTGCTCATGGAGCGTATGTCTGCGGGGGCTATTGGGAGGGTCCTTGGTCTTCCACCGAGGCGGAGGGGTGGGTGCGTCTGCACTGCCCAGAGCACCGTGTCTATGGGGCGTGGAGGTCCCTGCTCTCCAGACAACCCGCCCGCGTGAGAGCAGCTCCCCGCGTGAGCTCCATGTCGCAGGCATGGCAAGCCCCACCGCCTGCGTGGGGGTCGGACTCCAACGCCCAGCTCATCTCGGGACTTGTGTGCGTCCTTTCAGGACAGGTGGGCGTGTGCTCCGGCCCCATCTGTCCCCGACGCGGGGCACACCCACCCTCTCTGCCCCCGCGGCACCGTGAGGTCTCGGCCCTTCAGAACAAGTCCTGCTCCCCTCTGAGCCTGCCCCCCACCCCTTCACTCGACAGCTCGCTGCTGTCCCCTTTAGAGACTCGCTCTGGTGCCGCACCGGGTCCCGCCGGCTCTGCCGTCACGCTGGAGGCAGAGTCCTTCCTGCTGCGGGAGTGGACTGGCAGCCCACATCCTCGCACAGCTCCGAGGGGCCTCGCCAGCATGAAGACAGCAGAGGGCGTGACCCCATGCATGGCGTCGGGAGAGCCCTCCACTTCCCATCCCCTGGAGGTATGAGAACTCAGAAAAGAAAACCACTTCTTATCAAAACACAGATCTATTTCTTGAACATCTGGGTCTGGGGGCTGAAGCCGTTGCAAGTCGCCCTACAACCCGGCGCTCCCCATGGGCCCCCGAGGAGTGACCGTGTGTCTGGGAACACTTTCTGTGGCCTGGGAAGTACTGCACAGAGTCACGCCCACTGGGTCCTCGCTGGATTTCAAGACTTTTATCTCTGCCGAATTTCATCTCTGGGGCCTCAGCCCACTGTCACCTGACGCCTGTCGGCCCCGGCCCCAGCCCTGCTCAGCCCCCGGCTCTGCATTAGGCCCAGGTTCCTCCAAGTGATGGCACGAATGCTCCAAGCCTTCCACGTGGGCGGTGACTTGTCACCTCCTACGCCACATCTCTGCGACCGGCCGAACGAGTAGGTGCACATGTCTCAGACTGTCCAGCTGTGACTCAGGGAAACGCCTGCAAATCTCTGGTGGGAGAGATGCCCCCCACGATAGCGAGGCCGTGTCCTGCTCCCGCTTGGACAAGAAGAGCATCAAGCACTTAACCCAAGACAGCCTGGATTCTCATTCCCCAAAGCAGAGGATGCCCAGGGGTTTCACACACAGACAGGCTCTGAGCGGACCCGGGCACTGGGCGCCCCGACGGCTCCTGTCTCGCAGAGGCTGGGTGCTCACACCCGACGGCCCAGGAGCCAGAGCTCTTATGTTTGTCAGCGTGAAACCCCTGGCTGCCCGTGGAAGGAGCCAGAGCCAAGCCATCTGAGGAAGGAGGCCTGGGTCTATGCTAGTTTGCTTAGGATTTCTGGGAGAATATTATAGTTCAAACCATTTGGTAGAAACGTTATTGACGCACAGGATATTTTCTAAACTTCAGCTTCTCCAAGGTGATTTAGTGATTCTGAGCTGAAGATGACCAGTGACTGAGCTTGATTTCTGTCCTCTCTTCCTGCGCCATTGACTGACTCACCAAGGAAAGGTCTCACCTTGCCGGTCACAGAGATGAAACAAAGCCTTTTTCTTTCGAACCTCCTTTTTCTCCATCCCAATCTGTGCCACGACATTCTGATTAACGTGCTTCAACAATTCTGGTTCTCAGTGTTTTTACCCTGTAATGTTTGCTCGAGATGAAAACAGTTCTCTAGAGAATGCCAAGTATCAGGCCTTTCCAATTTCCAGATGTATCTTCTCTTTCCTATTTTTCCAGACAGACTTTCTCATATTATGAAAATCTGGATCGTGTACAACAAAACAAAGCACAACGCAACAGAAGCCCCTTCTTGGGGACGAGCCGAGAGGCTGCACCATTGCACAGAAAGCTGGCCTAGGACAGGTGGCAACCCCACGTGGCTGGCCCCTCGGACCCGGGAACAGAGACCGTGGGACCTGAGGAGTCAGTGCGATGAATACCATGTTCCCTGTGGACAAGGAGCCGTCTGGGCTCCAGGAGAGGCCGGCCGCCGTCCCTGAGCGTCAGGGCGCCTCAGAACCTGTGGGGGAGGCTCCCTGCGGGCTCGGGGAAGCCACCCATGGACGAAAGCATGGAACCACATGCGTATTCTCGGTGCCCAAAGCCCACTGGCCCTCATGGGCATTGCCACCTCCCCCCATTTTGGTGCCCAGGCCCCATCTGTCCTGTATGAGACCTGCTCTCCCCCGGGGTTTGCTTTCAGGTGGCTGACCCAGCAAGGAGCTTCTCGGTTCCCCTGCTCCTAAAACCAGCTCAGCCCATGAGGCACAGCTGTCCCGACTCCCTTCGTAAAGGAGACCGGCAAGCTGCTTCCTGGGGCCTCGAGGGGAAGCCAACCACAGCATCTTCCTGGGCTTCCACAGTGTGGACAGACGGTACCTGGTTTACTGTAAAAGTTGCTGAACACTTTGGGACAGGGTACGGTGACGGTCTCGCCGATGTCCGCGGGGCGCCAGCAGGTAATGTTGTCCCAGACACCAGTGCAGGCTGGAGGGAGAGAGAGAGAGACAAGGACTAAGGCAGCACTAAGGAAGCGGAGGCATCGCTGCTCCTGGGGACGCCCAGGCCGCTGGCAGCAAGTCGTGGGCCTTAAAGCTTTGCAAGGAGATAGCCCACTACTCAGATAATCATCTGGCAAATTGCTTATTTGTGAAAGAAGCTTGCACCAACAATACGATGGAGAGTACTCTTAGCTTCTGCATTCATTGTGTTCCGGCTGGAGGAGTTGCCGGACGTGTGGCAGAAGGTAACTGAGCGTCCCCAGGCATCTTGCAGGCCGCTGACTGCTCCGAGAACGGTCAGTTACTTTTCTCCGGCTGAGGTGCGTCCCCCAGTGTGACCACATGGGTCCTACGGGGGTTTGTGTGAGTCCTGAAGGCTTAGGGTCCCAGGATGAATGTACATGTGTGCTTTTAGGGTGTCTGACTTCAAGGGTAATATGCAAATTTAAATATTTGAAAAGCTCACTTGATTTTACCAGTTAAGACGGCATCTGAGTGGTGAAGTCTTAAGTCACCCTCCTGCAGGTATCAGATAACCTTATTAGTGTAACGTGACACTTACATCGTTTTGCAGATCTCTTACTGGGTCTCGGCAAACACCCACCCTGTGCGAGGCCTGCAAACACACGCCTGTTGTCCAAGAGGAAACGTCTCACAAACTAGGACAGAATCCACACCTGAACCCAGGGCTTTTTACCCCAAGTCCCAGGTGTTTCTACAATATCTTACGACACTTAAAGTGCTGTATTTCACGTAAACATCAGTGTTGCAGGAGCAACGTTCTAGCCTAGGAGGAAACAACGACCAGTGGCTCCACAAGCCGCCGGGTCCTGTGCGGCCGGCGCCGGCGCCGGCGCCGGCGGGTCTCCACAGTCCTGGCTGGAGCCCGGGAGTGTTCACTTTAAGGACGCAGATACCTCCCATACAGTGGCTGCAAGTCGAGCTTTGACTTCCTTGAAAGTACTTTCTAAAGGTTTTAAAATAAAAGTGAAAATATATTTATTCTAAAAATTTAATTATATGCCAATGATTAAATGAGTGCATAAATTCATAGTGTGTTAACATTCTCACATATTTAAAGAAATACTGCTTTGGAAGAAATATGCAGAAGTCAACAAGGACCATGGGTGGCGAGTGACTTTAGGTGTGCGCCTCGCGGCAGAGACCAGGCCGGGACAGGCCCTGCAATGACCCCCCCGTGACACGTCCGATGTCAGCGCAGGAGACACGTGGCGGCTGAGGCCTGGAGGAGCCCGGCCAGGGCCAGGGCTCCCAGCAGAGAGCCCCTGGGGGGGGCCGGTGAAGGTGTCCAGCTGTCCCGAGAAACACAAGCAGAGGCCGAGCCCCCACCGACGGGAAAGCAGCACGTCTGAGCACTGGCCCCTGGGTATCGGGAAGGTCCGACCATCCTCACCACGAAGACCACAATTTCTGCTTTAGTAACGGAACCTTGAGGGACACACCTTAGATCGACGGGTTCGTTGCAGTCAGTGTTCACGTCACAGCGGGATTTGATTCGAGCGCCGGGAGTCCGACGGGTCATCCTTTCAGGCACTGGCAAGCCTTCCCTTTGTGGGTTTACCGGGCCCCACGCTGCGGCTGTGCAGGATGTTACCTGGGAGTAACCAGCCTTCCGGCCGGCAGCCCAGCGGGGAGAGCAGTAGGCCCAGCCCAGGGGCGCGTGCGGGTGAGGGCCGGAGGCTGGTATGGGGGCGTTCACATACGTGGCCAGTCTGAAGGCAGGAGACAGCCAATGGAGTCCAGAACTCCTCTCTTCCACTTCCCAAATCCCACAAAATGACGTCAAGTTTGAAAGGGCAGCGCTCAGAGATGTCGGTCCGCTTGGAGCACAGAAAGCACACTCCTGTGCTGAGTATGAGGGAGAGGCCGCTAGGCCTGTGGAGGACGAGGAGGAAGAAGCAGGCGGCTTGGCCCACCAGGAGGGCTCTGGACATGGGACACCGAGCTCGGCGTGGGGAAGAATTCGGGAGCATCACGTCAAGTTTGCACTCTGAGCAGTGAGACCTGCATTCTTCCTGCCCTTGCCAGGTTCTTCTGGAGCCTGAGCTGATGTCACCCAACCGCAGCAGAGCCCATGGGAGGCCCCAGACCGGCCAGGCCAGCTCAGGCTGGAGGACGGAGCACCCAGGAGGAGATGCTCTAAGAAGGAAAGAGCACATTGTGAGGACCTTTCGTGTCCAGTTGTCTTGAGAGTCACTGGTTGTTCTGGTGCAAAGTGTGATGCTTAATTACTAATGTATAGACAATGAAGGAGCAGGAGAATTAGCCACTTAGTGTTCCCGGAAAAGCCCAAAGTTATACAAGAAACGACGGTTACATGGTCAGCTGCGACCCTAATAATATAAGCCAACAGCTGTGACATGACTGTGCTGGAGGGCAGGTTGGACGGGGGACAGAAGTGTGACCGCAGGGGCCGGGCCTGGTGAGAGAGCAGTATGAGCAGAGACGTTACAGTTGGGAGAAAAGGCTGGTGTAGAAGCGGTGAGGCCCCGGGGAGGCCATCAGGCCGCATGAGGACTCTGCTCATGTTGCGCCCTGGCAGCCTCAGCACCTGCTCATACCCGCAGCCTCCGAGAGCGGCCCCGCAAACGTTAGCAGCCTCTCCTGATTCTCCAGAAGTCTAAGAAGAAGGGAATGTAATGAGGCTGCTTTAACATAACGAAGACCACTTGTTTCCAATAGCCGTATGATTAGAAGTGATTAAACACCGCGTGTACCCAAAGTCAGGGACCTGACGGGACCCTCGCTATCACTGCTGTCCTTTAGCGCCAGCCAGGACTCCGGGCTGACACAGCAAGTAATGGAAGAAGAACCCAGCGGACCACGTCGGTATGAAGCTGAGAAAAATCCTACAACCGCACTCTCTGGCACAGCAACCACTGGCTGCATGGGACACTTTCAATTTAAATCTAAATTAGTTCAAATTAAACACAGTAACAGACCAGTTCCCCAGCTGCAGCGGCCACGCGTGGTCGGCGGTGACGGCAGCACAGCTCCCTCCACACACAGCCCCGATCGTCACGGGAAGTTCTCACGGACGGCACCGACCCCGAGCTGCAGTTGAGGCCCACAGACAACCGACTAACGAGCCGCTCTTGCAAATCATGAAGAAACTTAGAGCAAAGAGAACACCCTAGCACCCGTCGTTGCTGTACCGATAGCGATGCGGAGGGTAAAGGGGTCCAGAAACTTTCTCCCTGCGGTGGTTTATCTGCTGAACGAGTCCGTATGAACTATCTAAGATACTTTATGAATAAATATAAGTGAGGACCTTCTGGGAAAAAATGTGTTTTTCACTTATCACACAAATATTTTGTCTTTCAAAACCCACCAAGAAGATGGAGGAGAAACCCTCTTAATCAAATGACGGTCAGTAGCTTGGTGAATCGAAAAGCCAGAAAAAAATGCCTTAAACATCTACTAATTTAAAACACAAAAGTGTGTGTTTGTTACTTAAACTGGGAGCATCCAGCCAGAGGCTTTCCCTTGAGTACGGACTTGCCTGCTGGGCCTCTCGGTGTCCCTCCTGTGCAGACACACCCGAAGCCTCGTCCAGCCTTCCCACTTGGAGCGTCTGGGCTTGCAGAGTCCTGCCCAGCTCAAGTTCCAGAGCTGACCCCGGGCGTCATTCTCACCTCAGCCCGACAGCGGCTCGGCGGGAACTTGACTTTCCTAGTTTCCCCAAAGCACACACACCGGTTTTCTCAGACCGAGCGCCTTGCTGGGACTCCGCACCTCACGTGCTGTCCGAGCAGCTGGCTGAGCAGAGGACTGAGGGGGCGTCGGAGGAGGCGACGGGTGGGCAGGGAGAGCCCTCCCTGGGAGCCTGGCCATGCCACCTGGAGGGGACCTGCCCATTTCAAGGGAAAGTGGGTCCGGTCGCCCAGAGTGAACAATACTCTAAGCCGCTCAGAAAACCCACGGAGCTTTCTTAAACGTCACAGCGTTGTCAGCGAGCCCATACACGACGCCGATGGATACGGTTCAGGACAGGCTGCTTTTGAAACGTGCTCCAGGAAGGTCCCAGAAACACGGGCACAGAGGACAAACTCTGAGGGAGGCAGCTGGAACTCGACCGACTTGAGACCATCTTGTCCAAGGGGGGAGGAATCTGCTGTAATTGAAAGGAAACAAATCCCCTCAAACCCAGTTCTGTCTCCAAGTCGGAACTCTCACCGAGGACGCCGCGTGCGTTGTTTTGAGTTTGGGATTTTGTTCTCATTTTCTCAATGACATAAACATGCACTAATTCTCAGGCAAAGCACAACATGAACCTTATTCCTTTTACGTTACACTTTCTGTAGGGAAGGGATTCGTGAACGCTCACAAACGTTCACCGGTCCAGAGCCACACATTCTCATCTCTGCTCGTCACTGCTCTCACCCTCGAAGGCCGATGTCCCCACCAGCCCTCCCAAGACCTGAGGGCACATGCTCCCCACACTTTGGTCTTCCATGTTCGAGATACTGTGTTGAGAGCGCTGCACAGAGCCCAAGTCATGTGCCCGAGGCCAGGTTCCTCCTGAAGCCTCAAGTGGGCCAGAGACAGTCTCCCCTTCTGCGTGTGGACTCTCAGGGTTTGTGTACCAAACGTCCTGCCTTAGGTTCCAGATGAGGCTGTGACCACGGCCAGACACACGGATGCTGCCCTCTCTGTGTGAGGGTCCTGGGGTGCTGCAGGCACCTTCCTGCCCTGAGAGAAATCCAGTCCCTACAAACACCAGGTCAGAGAGACAGCTCAGGGAACCCCGGGTGGGCCTGGCTCTGAGGGATGGACTTCGTGGTTCCCACATGCGTCAAGTGACAGAGCCGCGTCTCCCTAGCGTGCACCGGGAAGCAGTGAGCAGTGACAAGGAGGGAGGGAACTCAGCAGGAGCAACCCTGCCTGCGGAGGAGAGGCAGGGACAGCTGTGTCGGGTGCCTCACACCAGATCTCCTGGCTCCCGCCGAGTGTGTGGAATGGGCT